CGTCCAGGTAGGAGCCATCCGTGAGCCACGGGTCCCCGCTGGACTTGGAGCTGCGAGTCAGAGGCTGCAGGTCAGCAGAGGGTGAAAGGGTGGGAGGGCGGGGTAGGGGTAGGCGAGCGGGCCTCAGGCCACACATACCGGGCACAAGGCTTATCCATAGCCGTGTCCAGCTTGAAGGTCCTCTCGAAGTTGTAGAGACTGACCACCTCCTCGTTCAGTGTGTCCAGCTCAACACAGCCCCGGAAGCAGGGAAAGTGAAGGGGTGCGGGAGGCTGTGGGCACAGGGCATGGTCAGGGCACCTCACCACCCCAGACAGACCAGAGGGAACTCAGACTGCAGCAGGACAGACGGAGGCGAGACGCCAAGGACGGGAGAGGCAGGGTTGCACCAGGGCTGCCCTAGGGCTCACCGTGAAGCTGCTGGGGTAGCCCCCGACATAGAAGACAAAGTCATCAGGCCGCAGGTTGAGCAGCCCCTCCGGCCCAGGGGCCACCGTGTCATTTTTGGTCTCCCGGACCATCTGCCTCTCCACGGTGACAGACATGTAGCCAAACTGAAGGGTCCTGGGGACAGAGGTGAGGGGTGAGGACAAGATACAGGCCCTGCAGGCGGAGGTGGCCAACCTCCCTCCTCGGGCCGCACCAGACCTCCCTCCTTGGGCCTCCCACCTCTCCATGCTGACGGTCACAAATTGCTCCCCAACGTCCTCGTCGATGCTGAGGGTTGTGGGGCCTGCCGCCCCTAGTCGGTACACCCAGTGCACCTTCTGGTCATGCAGAAACACGCCCATATAGTCCCCAGTGGCCTGCGGTGGTGGCAGAGGCTCCGTCAGGAAAGGGACCCAGCACCATCCACTTCTGGATGAACGCCCGGCCCAGGTCACACACCCTGCCCGCCCACCCTGTACCTGGCGACTGCCCATGTACAGCACAAAGTGGTTCCCGGTGGCCTGCTCGGGCTTTGGCTCTGGGCTCTGTAGATAGAACTTGAGGGCAGTGTAGGCGGCCAGGTCGGCGAGGTCCCGCGGCATGCGTACCTGCACTCCGGAGCTCCCATTGAACTTCATGGGCACCTTGACCTGGTGAACACAGCCCATCAGCATCTGCCACGAGGTTCCCTGCTGCCCACTTCACCAGGACCCTCGCCCACCTTGCGGGCAGCTCCACGGGCCTGAGCTATGAGCTCCCGCACGCGACCGATGCTGGCGGACAGGGCCAGGCTGGCATTGCGGGCCCCGCGGTTCTCCAGGACACTCAGCTTGGCCAGCAGCTGGGGCAGCGTCTTCTCCAGGGTGGACACTGTGGGGAGGGGTGGCCCTGAGAGCTTGGCCCCAGCCCTGCCCCACCCCCATCAGGGGTACTGCAAGGGCCCCCTCCCACCTGAATGTCCAGCATCCAGCACTGCCTGGCCCAGGTCCTGGCCCCGCAGGTCCCCATACTGGCGCTGCCACCGTTCTAGTTTTTCCTGCATGTCCTGCAGCTGGGACTGCACATGGGCGACTGTGGCCTGGGCTTCGGCAGCCACAGCCTTGGCGTGGGCAATCTTCTTGCTGGTCTCATCTGGGCGGGCAGAGGGCAGCTCAGCAGGGCGGGGACCATCCTGGCCTCATGTCCCCAAGTTTCTCTGCTGTGCCAGTAACAGGGAGGCCGACCCCCTGGGGACCTTGTGAGACCCTTGTATCCTGCAGCTCAGTGCAGTCAGAGCAACCCTAAGCACCCCCCGGCACCCCTCCCATCCCCAGACACCTGCCCTGTGTCACTCTCCCACTGCCTGGCCTCACCATCACTCCCAGGCTTGCTGAAGGTGAATGGTAGCCACAGGGATCCCCTGGAAGCCCAGTCAGACCACGTCACTCCTCTGCTCCCAGAGCCTCGGAGTAGGAGCCATGGTCCCCACTACCAGAGGTCTCACCAGCCTCTCTGCTCTTGCCATGCTGACCTCTGCCTCTGTGCTCACTGGCAGTCATTCCTAGTACCCTTCCCACAAGTCTGCCCTTCTACCCAGGCCTCTGCTTCTGCCAAAGTACATCTGTGCCCACTGGTCTCCACTGATGGCCCAAGCTGTTGAGTGCTGTCTGTGGCCCTGGCCAGAGTGTGTCCCTGGCAGGCCTTCTGCATCTGGCCCAGTGCCACCCACCACGGGAGCCTCCCTAGTGGCCCCAGACACAAGTGCTCACAGCCTCCTGTGGCCAGCGTCCACTGTCATAGAACATCACCAGACAGTCAGCTGTAGTACCACCTTGGGCTTGGTATTCCGCTCACCCCTGGGGACCCAGGCGTGACAGCTGGGCCAGGCTGGGGCTGTGGTGTACCTGTGTCCATGGCCAGCATGGCCCGCACCTCCTGTATCTGGGCTGCCAGCTGGTCTTTCTTGACCTGGACGTCTCGGAGCTGAGTCCCGGTGCCCTGGAGTACAGCGTGCACTGCGGGGGAGACAGCCTCAGCCCGAGGAACCCCCACCCCTAGCATACAAGTGCAGCCCACCCCAGCTCCCTGATCCCAGGAGGACCAAGGCTGATATGTAGACAGAGACATCCAGAAATGGGGGCCCTTGGCTGAGGTGTCAAGTATCAGGGGGGGCCTCAGTTCTCAGTTGCCTGAAGACCTGGTACTGCCCGCCTTCTCCATGTGTCTTTGTCCTCATTTTGCAGCTGAAGCAATAGAGGCTTAGAAGAGTCAGATCTCCGGCTTCCACAGCTTGGCGTTTATATGGCCCTTGGGCCAGCAAAGTAAGGGGCCCACATCTTCTTGCAGATGATACCCCCTTACAAGGCTGTCCCTCTCCTGGCCCTGGGTAGGGTTTCCGGGGCCAAAACACAAGCAGGGGGGAGCAGGGCTGGCATACAGGGCACTGGCCACTTGACGCCACCTGAGTCACGCTGCGCCAACCCACACTCTCACGCATGGACGTGGAACCTCAAGCTCAGCCACGCCAAGGTGCCCATCAGAACCCAGCACTCACCGCGGTCCAATCTACGCTGTTCCCTGAGCACAGCCTCCTCTAGGGCGCTGCTGTTGACCAGCAACTGTCGGGCGCGGGCCGCCAGACCCCGCTGTACCACTGTCTATGGACACAAGGACACAGCAGGGCTCATACCATGGAGGTGGGGGAGCCGGGCTCCTGCTGGGGCTGGGGGTGGAGCCTCACCGCCCATGTGTGGCTGGCCTGCTGCAGGGCCTGGCCAGCAGCGCCCTCGGCGGCCTGCACAGCCTGCAGGATGCTGCCATAGGCGTTGGAGGCCTCGATGGCCCTCTGGATGAAGCGGTCCTGGTTGATGCCGAGGATGATACTGTGGTGGGGGGCAGGAGGGTCAAGGGGATGTGGGTGGCAGACACCCCAGCTGCACCTGCCAGACCTGGCCTCTGGGTGTGCTGCGCCCGTCCTTCAGCCCTCTGGGCCCCGACTCAACCCTGGGAGCTCCGCAGACCAGTCATCCCCTCCCGGCTCCAACAGCACTTGCAGGGACTTGGGCTACATTCCAGGACGTGCCCAGGACCCCCAGGTCATGCACCTGGACAGGTTGAACGCCAGCCGGTCCAGTTGCCGTGCATGGGCTTCAGCGGCCTCCACGAGGCCCAACTTGTCACCCGCAGGGGAGAAGGCCTGTATCCTCTGCAGTAGTGGCGTCCGGGCCCCGTCCAAATTGGCGGCGAGGCGCTCGAACTCCTGGGGGCGGGTGGGTTAGTGGCCCTCATCCTGCTTGCTGCCCACCTCCTCTAGGTCCCCGAGGGCAGAACTCTGGGCACATACGTGCACATGAACCCACCACAGGCTGCAGCCTAGGAGGGCACTGGCCACAAAGGGAGGGGGAGGTGATGGCGCAGGGGCTACGCTCACCTCCTTGGCCTGGTCCATGCCACGTAGCAGCTCAGAGACCCGGGCCAGGGTGTTGCGGGCGGTCTGCAGAGTGGCCCTCAGGGTAGCATTGTCCTGAGACAGCTCCTGCTTCCATTGCTGAAGGCAATGGTGGTGAGGGGACAAGCAGTGAGGAGGAAGTGATGGGAATAAAAAGTGTGATGGTACAGAGAAGGCTTGGGTAGGGAGGGAGATGGAGTAGGAGGGGGTGAGAAGGGAATGGGAAGGGAGAGAGGGAAGGGGGGAGGAGAAGGAGGGAAATGG